TTGTTCTTGTTGTTGTTGTTGCTGTTGTTGCTGTTGCTGTTGCTGTTGCTGCTGCTGCTGCTGCTGCTGTTGCTGTTGCTGTTGCTGTTGCTGTTGTTGTTGTTGTCGATGATGTTGTTGTTGGTGATGTTATTGTTGAAGTTGTTGATGCTGTTGATGTCGTTGATGTTGTCGATGTGGTTGATGTTGTTGTCTTTTGCATCAATTTGGAGCTAAGTTGGGCCATCTCGGGGCTATGTTTGGCCATCTCGGGGCTATGTTGAGCCATCTTGGGGTCATGTTGGGCGATCTTGGGGCCATGTTGGGCCTATGTTGGGCCATCTTGGGCCTATGTTGGGCCATCTTGGGGCTATCTTGGGCCTATGTTGGGCCATCGTGGGGCCATGTTGGGCCTAAGTTGGGCCATCGTGGGGCCAGGCTCATCTTGGGCCCATCTTGGGGCTATGTTGGAGCAAGGGACCCCCCATTTTTTTTTCCCGATTTATGTTGTTTTTGTCGAAGAGCAAAAAACACCGTAAATTACGAGGTTTTTCGGGGGCTGAGCATAGGTCGGCGGTAGGGGGCGGCAGCCGTATAGCTAAAGCTACGGCCTTCGGCCGGGGGCTTTGCCGGTCTACAGGGCCTGCTGGCCCGATTTAAGCGCTTACGCGCCCATCTTGTGGCTATGTTGGCCTAGGTTGGCTGAGCTTGGAGCTATGTTGGCCCAGCTTGGGGCTATGTTGGCCCATCCTGAGACCTATGTTGGCTCATGTTGCCCCATGTGGAGCCAAAAGATCCGAAAAATTGGAAACAGCAAATTAAAGGACCGGATAACCCCACATGTTACCAACTTCTTTAGACTTAGACTGATCATAGAAAAGCAAGAAGGGAAGAGGAAGTATAAGAGTGATGGAGCGGTGATGGTGGGTGAGTTTGTGTGTATGTATGTATGTTCATGTATAGTGAGTGAGTGAGAGTGTGAGTGAGTGATGTGAGTGTGGTGTGTGAGTGTGGTGTGTGTGAGTGAGGGATGTGAGAGTGAGTGAAGTAAGTGAAGTGAAGTGAAGTGAAGTGAAGTGAAGTGAAGCGAAGCGAAGTGAAGTGAAGTGGAGTGGAGTGGAGTGGAGTGGAGTGGAAGTGGAAGTGGAAGTGAAGTGAAGTGAAGTGAAGTGAAGTGAAGTGAAGTGAAGTGAAGTGAGTGAGTGGGTGAGTGAGTGAGTGAGTGAGTGAGTGAGTGAGTGTGTGAGTGAGTGGGTGAGTGAGTGAGTGAGAGTGAGTGAGTGTGTGTGTGTGTGTTGTATGATATGCATTGTGTGTTGTGCATTGTGTCTTGTGGGTTGTGTGTTGTTGTGTGTTGTGTGTTATGTGTTGTGGGAAAGGCGCGATGTGTCGTTGGGAAGAAAGGTTGTCGTGGATTTGCACGGCCTCCCATTAATGTCCCCACCACCGGCCAACGTGGTGTCGGCTCGACCGAAGCCGAACCGTTTGGTAAGGACGAAGGCATCGACCTCAGTGTTGAAGCAGGTGGGAACATATTTGCATATGTACTGCACGCGGCTAAGCCAGCTGCGAGAGCATCTCTGGTCAGTACCTGCAGACCGATAATGAAACAGGACTGAAGATGAACCTGTTCTTTCCCTCCATCGCAAATGCCCGGAGCTCAACTGCCCACCAGGTGTACCGTTCGCGGGCCGCTGCTTCCGTGCTGCGAACTGAATAGTAGTCACATGCAGTCGGCTGCATGTGCCTTCCCAAAGGTTGGCCCGGCGCTAATGTTTCCACCTACGAGCAAAAGTACGCAGCAACATACCAACGCTTGTGTGAATTACTAAAATCAAGATGTCGGTTCACCATCCCGCCTCCGGCAATAAAACCAAGTAGAAGGTTGTCATCGGTGGCTGGTACACGGCCATACTACCGAGAGCGTTAGCAACACCAGTTCTAAAAAGCTGCGATCATTCAAAAGTTCACATGCTGCAAGCTCGGCGTTTGCAACCTAGTCTCCTACCTCACACATGGCACTGCTGCGCTATGAGTAAAGTAAGTTTTGACAAAAGCACTGTGGTACTAAGTATTGGGGACCCGGCTTTGTCAACTGTCATCAATCGGACACCTGCCACGTATCTAAGCACAAAAAAGCCGGGCAAGAATCATTTGCCACACATTTCACCACAGCGTGCTGCGCAGTGTGAATCAAACCAACAACCGACAAAGCAGTTTCAGACACACTGTGATCTGACACGTGTCATCCATTCGCCTTGTTGGAATCCTGCTCATAAGCAATCCTGGCAGGAAATCTTCTCGATCGGAAATTGTGCCAGCGTAAAAGCTTGTAAGTCTAATGAAATCCATGTTCCGACACAATGAACAAGCCATCCTGTAATCTGAAGCTTAGAGCCCAGCCACGATGTGAATGCAGGATACAAAAAGCTTTGACAGGTAGAGAAAGAAACCCTCCACGGCACACTCAAAAGCATATCGATTTGCGCGCCTAACCCCGAAGACCGCGTGGCCCCTGGCCAAAGACAGCAAGAGGTCACTGCTCAGCCCTGGATCAGCGAAACCTACCCTCTTACTGAAAAGGACCATATATGGCTGATAAAACTAATTGAACATGATCATCACCCATAGCTGTTTTGGTTTACACCCGGGTATCCAATTCTGCCACCTCTTCTGTCGACAGCTGCACAAAGGGCTGCGTAGTTCAAAAGTTTATGATGAAAAAAATACATCTATTTTAATGTAGATCACTCATATTCTAAAACCATCATCATTATTATATATACTATTGATGATGATGATGATTGCTGATGATGATGCTGATGAAAATACTTGAATGATTCTTTTCAGAATTTGAACATCATTGTAATCATACCATATTATCTACCCAGGCACACCTCGTCGCTTGTCGTGATAAGACATGTCGCCAAGATTGGCGGGACCATAGCCTGCAAAAAGCGTCCAGCTGGCCAACCATAGCCTACACGCCGCTAAACAACATCGGAATGGTGTAGAACTGCCAGGCTCACAAGTTTGCAGTCACCAGTCAATCTGCCAGAAACCTACATCCGTTGGACACGTTGTCCTGATCTTTTGATTTCTTCTACATCGGCTTGCTATTTTCCAGCTATCTCCCATTGTTACGCACCTCGTGCACACAGAAATCGTCCAAACGAAAAAGATAGATGCCTGTAACCCCAGTGAAACATGGCATTTACTTCCTGTAACCCCTGGTTCCCAACATAATCTGTCAAACTTAGCCACAACGTCTATACACAAAAAGTTACAGGCACCATGAGAATGTCTTCATAAGTCATAAGTCTTTTCGAAGACAAGCTCCTACAAAAGAGCGAAAAAAAATGGAGGCTTGTAACGCTATCATGAAAGAATTCATATCAAACAGCTCAACATAATAATACTTTCCCGGGACCTCCAGACACAAGCAGCAAGTTGCTTCAAGCATCTGGAAATCACTGCGAGCTATTTAAATAGATTCTTTCATTTCTACAACAGTTGCATTTTCAGCATTATTTCTACAACAGTTGCATTTTCAACATTACAAGCCTCGTGAACACAGACATCGTCCAAGCAAAAAAAGCTAGATGCCTGTAACTCCAGTGAAACACGAAATGCCGAACAAGTTCTCATGACATTTTCTTACTGCTTACTCGCATGCTACTTCTCGCAGACTTCCCAACACAAGCAGCAAGCGGCTTGAAGCATCTGGAAATCTACGAAGTATGTGCTTCATCTGTGAAACTTAGCCACAACGTCTATACGCAAAAAGTCACAGGCACCATGAGAATGTCTTCATAAGTCTTGTCGAAGACAAGCTCCTACAAAAGAGCGAAAAAAATGGAGGCTTGTAACGCTACCATGAAAGAATTCATATCAAACAGCTCAACATAATAATACTTTCCTGGGACCTCCAGACACAAGCAGCAAGTTGCTTCAAGCATCTGGAAATCACTGCGAGCTATTTAAATAGATTCTTTCATTTCTACAACAGATGCATTTTCAACATTATTTCTACAACAGTTGCATTTTCAACATTACAAGCCTCGTGAACACAGATATCGTCCAAGCGAAAAAAGCTAGATGCCTGTAACTCCAGTGAAACAAGAATGCCGAACAAGTTCTCATGACATTTTCTTACTGCTTACTCGCATGCTACTTCTCGCAGACTTCCCAACACAAGCAGCAAGCGGCTTGAAGCATCTGGAAATCTACGAAGTATGTGCTTCATCTGTGAAACTTAGCCACAACGTCTATACGCAAAAAGTCACAGGCACCATGAGAATGTCTTCATAAGTCTTGTCGAAGACAAGCTCTTACAAAAGAGCGAAAACAATTGGAGGCTTGTAACGCTATCATGAAAAAGTCACATCAAACAGCTCAACATAATAATACTCTCCCGGGACCTCCAGACAAAAAACAGCAAGTTGCTTCAAGCAGTTGGAAATCACTGCGAGCTATTCATATCGATTCTTTCATTTCTACAACAGTTGCATTTCCACATTACAAGCCTCGTGAACACAGACGTCGTCCAAGCGAAAACGCTAGATGCCTGTAACTCCAATGAAACAAGAAATCCCGAACAAGTTCCCATGACATTTTCTTACTGCTTACTCCCATGCTACTTCTCGCAGACTTCCCAACACAAGCAGCAAGCAGCTTGAAGCATCTGGAAATCTACGAAGTATGTGCTTCATCTGTAAAACTTAGCCACAACGTCTATACACAAAACGTTACAGGCACCATGAGAATGTCTTCATAAGTCTTTTCGAAGACAAGGTCCTGCAAAAGAGCGAAAAAAATTAGAGGCTTGAACGCTATCATGCAAGAAGTCACATCAAACAGCTCAACATACTAATGCCACATCAGTGTCAGTCAAAATATTTTTGTACCTCTGGTGACAAGCCTCGTTCGACTATTCGAATTTCTCAACGACTCCTAGAGTTGCAATACTCCAGAAGATATCAAAGTCCGGACAAAAAGAAACGAATCCTGAGCCGCTTCTATCAAGCCCCGTGGCCAAAACGTGCGGCAACCCCTGCACGACAGATCTTAGCTCGTTCTTGAAACTGAGCCACTTTTGTTTGAATTGCGGCTGGAGGCCCGAGTTCCAAGATCTCTCTGGGCGGTGCCCGGAGTAGTAGCATGTCATCCATCGTCGTCACACGGGAGAACATGACATATAAATGCAACCACCAGTTCTCATCATCCATTTCAGGTAAACGCGCACAGTCAATGATGGTGCCTTCTCGAAGAGTCAGACCTTGCGAGCCAGTGCTCGTGAAAAAATTGGCATGCGTGATTCGAAAGCCACAGCGGCGGACATCATACTTCTGCGAACTATTCAATTGAATCACCACTTCTTCTGCCGGAAGAAACCAAAAACTTTTCGCTAATCTTTCTGCCTCTTGATCGTTCTCGATATGCGCTGTGCAACGGGCAAGTAAATCTTCATAGCCAGAGCATCCTTGATATCCATCAACAGCCACCCAGAGACCCGATGGGAGATATTCCGGAGAAAACAACTCGCCGCCTTTGCATTGACCATACCGAGCCCGATCGTTGGAATGAAATTCAAAGTCCATGATCGTGGCCAATGTGTCCTGCACCATGCCCTTATCTGCATCGAGCTTTGCCACCAGTCGAATCCGCATGCCAACATGACAAGGGAATAGTCCATGCATATGCCCCGTTTGATACGGGTTTGGCCGGTTCAAAAAACGAAAAGCAACGTCCCTTTCCAAACCTGATGCATTGTCAGCAGCTTGCAGCAATACCAACGGCTGATCCGCCTGCGCTGCATCCAACAACGCTCTACGGTACATCATCCGCACCAGAGACGCCCAGTAGATCGACATGCAGTAGCCTCGCCGAAAACAAGGCAAGTTGAATCGTTGATCTGGATTCCCGGATGTAGTGTTGCGAGCACACCGCTGTTGAAAAGCATTCCAAATTGCGTCCGGCAGACGGTGTCCTTGGCGCATGCATTGCAATAAGTCAATCAGAGGATCTCCTGGCTTGAACCGCATGGTGCCGCGCAGCTCAAAAACGTCTGGAATCTCCGCAAACACTTTCTGGGCATGCTGTACTTCTGCCGGCACATCAGCATGCTTCCAGTTGCCATGCTCATCCTGCGCCATTAGATCATCCAGCAAAGAGAGCTGCGCAGTCGGTCGCAATTGAAAGAAGTCGCCCAAGTGCAAAACAATCGGCACACGTCCGAAGGCACAGCCTGTCTTGGCATACGTGTTTGGATCCACTCCAAACACCAAGCGGCGACCAAGCATGGCGCGAAAGTCTAGCATGTTATAAAGAAGAGCAGAGACCATGCTGATTTCTTCCACAACTAAGACACGCACAGAGCTCCACAGCTTCTGCAAACCTTTCTCGTTGGAGCCAGCAGCCATGTTGCTGTTGGTTAGGCTTTGTACTCCGAGCAAGGATGCGCCGTGTAAGGTCTTGGCGCGGACAGTGTCAGTGGAAATGTTCTTGGCCTGCGCATTTTTGGCAGCAACAACCATCAAGGTAGACTGTTCTCCTTCCGAAGGCCAAATGAAGTGCACCACAGGGAATACAATGTTCTGCACGATGTGCGTCTTGCCTGAGCCCCCTTGACCGAGCAACAGCATGTGGTAAACATGCCGCTTCTCTGGGGCAGTTGTGTTTTCTTGTGCGTACACCGTGTCCAACACCTCCGCAAATCTTTGAATAAAACAGTCCTGATCTTCATTCAGTCGTTGCTTCGGCGGCAATGCAGCAACTAGATCTTTCACGAGATCGGAAGGTTTCTCGTAGACATTCTGAGCGCTGAAGCGAACACACTGGGCAGGTAACCGTGGCAAAGCTTTCTTGAGAGATCCGTGCACAATTTCCTCACTGGAAGGCTGCTCTTTGTCTTCGCCGTCTTGCACCAAACCATATCGACACGATCCCAAAATGTCCGCACGTGTGTCCTCACATGCATGCACCCCTTCTCAAACCCAACTTTTTCAAAGCAACCGTATCGAACGATCTACAACACACCCTTTTTTTAAAGAAACCAAAAAAATTGTAGTCCCAAAAAATGGTTCTGGTCTCAGACGAAGCCACGGCATTCCAACTTTGGAGCTCAGCAAAAACATCATGCAGCAAGTGACGTGTCGAATTCTGAAGTTTGCATGCGTCGGCGAAAGGATCTTCCTTCATCCAGCTTTGTGCAAGGAAATCTTTCACATATTGATTGTGTCGAGCTTGAAATTGAAACAGTAGCAGTTTCTTCTGTTCTTCCATATTCGGTCGAAAAGATATCTTCTGAAAGACTTCATCAGGCCGAAGTGTTTTTTTCTGGAGGCAGTTCATCATGCTCGGGATTGTCCCCAGCATCTTCGCCATCTTTTTCGCCCGCAGTGGTCCCTTTCACAAACTCCTCCAACAACTCAGCATCAATATCCCGACTTCTCTTGTGACGTTGTTGCCGGGCCCGAGCCAAACCTACCGGATGTTTGTATAGTCTAACACAAACGAATTAAAACAGTGTTGCTCGTCGTCAAACATCTACTACACAAAAAAAATAACACAATAAATATCAGCAAACAAAGACGAAAGCAACAGACAGAAATCAAAGATCATCAGATTTTGCAGCCCAGCCTTCCAAATGCGCAACCCGACTCTCTGCCAACATGGAAGAATATTGCTCAACAGTTGCTCGAGGCTTCTCTCGATCCGGATCTAATATCGGCTGCGGCACCTCTTCGCCCATGACCAATTCCAGTTTCCATCGAAGAGCCTCAACCATTTCTTTTGTTTCCCACAGAGAAGGATATTCAAATCGAGCTGCAAAACGATAACGAGCCGTGGCTGCTTCCTTCATCATGTCTTCTTCCCATTCCAGATAAGCTCGTGTGAAAGCAGTCGTAGCTGCAATGGAATTGTCCATGCCTGCAGAGCCCTTGGTAGGAGATGAAAAAAGAGCAAAAGCTTTCAACACCAACTCCTCCTGGCTCAGTTCTTCGCCTGCGACAGGCAGAATGCGAGTTGGACGGCATTGTATCTGCTTGTACATGGCATTCCGCTCGCTGTCCACAGTCAGAGGTGGCATAGTAAACCCTTCAAACATTGGTACACGAGGTTCTGAGCAGATCCGCTGAGCATGAGAATTGTAGAGCTTGTATGCCGGATCAAAATAAACATCAATGTACCGTGGCAGGACGCCTCTGACCGACTTCTCTGGCCGAGCAGGCAACTCGATGCGATAGACCCACGTGCCATAGGTTGCCCAACTCATTCCTGCCAGCAGTTCTGAGTCACCGCGATACAAATAATCCTCCAAACTGCTCGTAGTAACAGAAAGGTTCTGGGGCTGAGTGACGGTACAAACACCTGCAGTCACTGCGACATCCTCACCAGTTGCTTGCAAAGCTCGCAAATTCGTGGCAGCACCCTCACCGTCGCCACTGCGATCCACATTTTCGGTGACACTATGCATCTTCAAAAGCTCCTCTGCAATCGACAACCTCTGTCGCGAATTGCGCTTCTGTGCTGCCTGCGCTTCAAACTCCAAGAACGCGTCAGCTAAATTGGTGCAAGCTTGCCCACCCGGTCCAATGTAGACATACGACGTCTCGTCGGTTTCATCATCAATGCGGGCAACTTTCCGCCAGCCGGCCAAAACCACATCGTCCACACCTGTTCTATGAAAAATCACAGAATCATTGTGGGCGCTCTGTGCATCGACACAATGGAGCACACTGTCACCATACTGTTTTCGCCAAGCAGTAACACAGAAAAAAATTGCTTTCTTCACAAACAGCTTCCAAGTACGATGCGACGCAAAAGTCAAATGTTCGTACAATAGAGGAAAAATCAATTCAGCCGCGCTCTTCCAATGACAACGTCTGCTGTACTGGGTCAAAGTGGTAACTTATGCCGCGGTCATCTTCTTGTGCCGCAAACGGTGTGCCGTTGGGAAGTCCATGATATACATGTCATTCTTGCTGGATGAATCAATTGTTTGTGGCATTGATTTTTCTAACACTTTACAGGGGCACACATGTTTTTGAGACATATTCTTCTTGAGATAGAAACTCATGGGGATGGCTTCTCAATAGCTTGACTCGCACAGAAGAGAGAACAGTAGAAGAGAAGAGTAGAGTAAAAGAGACTATATACAGAAGAGTAGAGAAGAGAATCGAATTGAAGAGTAGAAGTGATTAGAGAGGCCTAGAGCAGAGAAGGGAAGAGTAGAAAAGATCCCTGCTGCCTTGCCCTGCTGCCTTGCCTTGCAAAATCCAGATCTCGTACAGATCTCGTAAAGACCTCGTAAGGATCTCGTAAAAATAAAGCAATGAAAATGACATGTAGAACTCCTGGTCTTCTAGAGGTCAAGTTGATGGTGTGCCATGCGGTTTACAACGCTTTGTGTCAGGTTTAAGACAGATAAACGGTACAAAGCGTTGCAGTCCGCATAGGAACTTCATGAAAACAATGTGCACATACATGGATCGGCAAAGTGATCGGCTGCAGAAAAGAAAACTGTTACCTGAGTACTTGGATGTACTCGGTGTGCCAATGGGGAAAACCATCATGGATGACATTCTTAGAGATTAAATATGTTGTTCCGACAATGGGAATTACATCTGAGAACTTGGGTTGATAGAAAACAATTTGTAGGTGTGCCATGCGTTCCTTGACATTTGGGGTGAGGTCAGAAAATTCACGAACTGATGTAAAATGTACCAAATCCCTTAGGAAAATAACAAACCAATCCAAAAACCTGTCCGTGAGGGCCGGTGTGCCATGGTGATTTGCACATGGCGTAAGTTCTTGGGGTCGTGGGGTACGCGGTGTGCCATGCGGTGGGGTAAGTTCATAGATTTTGGGGCAAGTTACCCCCCGGACTCGTAGGATGACGACAGGCGGGTCAACGTCTTCATCGTCTCAGAAAACATAACTCCACGACGTCCGGGAATGTGTTCACCTGCATCTTGTGCAGCTTGTTCCGCACGGCTCCTCTCCTCGCTGCGCTCCTCCCGCTCCATTTCCAAGCGCTCAATGCCTGTGCTTCGAACAGTTTCACTCCACAAACACATAACAACGCGAAACGAAAAAAAAACGAACAAAAAACACAACCGCAACCCAAACCAAATTCAATCCTGACTTGCATCATCTTGGTCCCGCCTTTGCGCAACTCCTCTAACATTCCAGCCAAGCCAGGACCAGGCTTCGTCGTGTAGCTGTTGATGTAAAACCCGCTATTGATTCCATCCGAAAAAGTGTCGCTCACACCGCGCCGAATCGCGCGAACAAAGTCGCGATCGGCAACATCATCTTCTGTTTGCGTTTTGTCCGTTTCCCCAGTTACTGCTCTCTCATGAGCTGCCAGCCAAGCTTTGCGAAAATCTTTGGCCAGCGAACGAGTCCACAACCATGATACTGGCTCAGTGGGAGATCCAACTCGTTCTTCATACTGTCCGGCAGCTCACTCATATTTGGCCATGTAACCCAATTGCTGCGTGACGCCGACGTGCGGCAAAATGTCGCCCTCCTCTGTCCACAGCTTCATGTCCCAAGACTCTTCTCATGTCTTGAAGATCCAGGTTGTGTCGGCCAGCCACAAGACCACCAAAAGAAGTCTGACATTCGAATGGACTCAGCTGAATTGGGCGTAGACGTCCAGCCATTACATATTCAACCTCCAATTCACTACCGACATGAACGCAAGGACGTAGGGCCTTGCCTTTCTGTCTGGCTCTGCAACCTTCTGTAACATGCACCACATGGTAAAAACCGTGCCGACAAATACGAAATTGGGCAGAGCTCTTGTCCGAATACTTGAAGCACGAATCACTGCAAACGTGTCTCAGCAAGGCTGGTAGAAGGTTGTGCAGATCCTGCAAGATTGGCTTTCTACAACTTCACTTTCATGAATTCTTGCCAAATTCTACAACTTGAAACATCGGCATTCAAAGCGTCTAGTAATGCAACACGTCGACATGTAATTAAAACATTTTCGCATCAAATTGGCCGGACAGATCAATTACATCGTTGCCTCTCTTCATATCAGACATCGCCATGTTTAATCTCTTTGAATAAAATCAACCACATCAAAGACATGTGCACAAGTTACGCGCAGGCCCGCCTGCGCAAATGCCGTCTGCCATGCTCGCGCTTCTTCTTCTGGAGAAGCGCCTTCCACCAGCACACTGCGCAAACGATATGCAGGCGTCTGTGCCACTGGCAAGCCATTGCTAGGCTGTGTGAAAATGTTCCTGGTTGAATTGGCCGCCTCCTCGACCTGCAGCAACGGTCGGCGCCAATCATCGTCCCGAGCAGCTTCCAAAAAAGCATCTTGCTCCTGAGTCCTCTCCAGCATCTCTCGCAACAAGTCCAAGTCACTGCCGCCATCATACTTGGACAAGTTGCGAGCAACCTTCGTGACAGCAACCGGTGTCGAAAGGCTGGCGCCATCAAAGATTCGAGGAGCTGCTTGGACAGACGCATGGGACAACGATTGGAAGCTGGCCACAACCATTTTCATAAAGTGACGTAATGGATGCTGCAATTCGGCCTTGTTATTCTTCAACATGCTGGCAAGTTGGCCTACCACCTCCAAATGGCCGCATACAAGCCAAACCACAATATGTGGATGCAAAGAGCCGCGGCCTTGAGCTTCGATTTCACCTCTGAAGGCAAGCACGGGTCCTAGCATTCCAGCGCCGGTAGAAGATGCAGCGGCGCCATCACTGCACCATTCCCGCGAGACCGTGCGGACACCACCTCTGCGACAATCCAGCGTTTCTGGTCGCACATTCAAAACATGTTGGAAAAATAATCGCATCAAGAACTCAAATTGTACCGTTTGTGCTACAGGATCTTGTGCAATCTTTCGCAGCATGTCTCTGTACTTCGGCAACGAGGGGTCCATTTCCTGATCCACGGACCCAAGATCCACCTCTTCGCCTTGTACAACCAGCAATGGATGCTGCGTGTCCGCCAGATTGGGCGTCAAAAAAATGAGCGGCGGTCCAAACGTCTCCATGTAGAGCGGCGGTCCAAACGTCTCCATGTAGGCGACTCCTTCGTGCCAGCACTGCCTGCGATGACCATCGGTGCCCAAGACCGTGGCCGAAGCGCTTTGCATCGCTTGCAGAGCATCCTTGACAGTTTTTGGCACACTGGTATTTTGCAACAATTGCTGCACAGAATCACCAGAGGAAGGATCTACCACCCGTGCCGCCGATGCCAAATCATCTGCTTTCAGAGCACTCAAAGTCTTGGCAAAGGCCATGCCACCATTTCTTAAAAAATGGGTATGAAGCATTGCGCTGATCTGTCAAGCGACAAACAGTGGACATCATGTGCAACGCAATCCAATCACCACTGAAACGGTTACTCACTACCGGAGCAACATCATCGTTGTCAACAGCATACTGCAACTCCTGCCATGTCGACACCACACCACACCGCCCCAAGACTAAAAACCCAATCATTCATCCACAACCACTCCGACATCTATTTCTTACTGTGCTATGAAAACGGTATGTTAATTGCCTGAAATAAAACGACCGGAATCCACACAGTGTCAATTTGCAAGACGCATCAATGACACCATAAACGCATATCCATGTGCATATAAATTGTCAAACGAAAGAAAAAAGAACAAAAAAACAACCAGCTTCGCCCCGCGCCCCCCGAAGCAAAAAGACACGCCGCCCATTCTCGGGTGGACAATGCTTCCTCGCGATCAAATAAATTGCCAGCATCACCATATCTCCAAAGCTTCGGTTTCGCCATCGTCCAAATCTTCCAGTCAAACAAACTCAGCGGCTTCTTCCCGCGAGCTACCAACAAATGCTTCGCAGCACGTCCAGAATCTGCATCTTCCTGAACCGGTTCTTCATTTGAAGTTTCGGACGGTAACAGCCAACGCGACTTGCCCATGACAGCATCTCTCAACTCCATCTCCAACTTCCTGCGCGCATCGGGAGCAGATAGTTTCCGACAGGTTTCCTGCACTTCATCACAGAGTTGCAAAATACGTTGACGACCAAGATGATCAACCAGCGTTGTATCTTCTCCCATCAATGTAGCAAGCTCGACTGATACCGAGCGAGCACCAGCCGATTCGAGTTCATCAATTTTCTCTAACAAGGAAACTATCTTGGTGTTTACATCAGTATTTTCTTCATTGAAATCTTTCACCTCCGATTCCAAAGCAAACACTGTTTCATCTTGTTCCACCTGCACGTGCTCAGCTGTGGCGTCCGCCGGCCCCTCTTGTCTCAAGATGCCAGGACCATCTTCACCAACAGGAACCGTTACCACACAATCCAGAACCACCGGTGGAACTGCCTCATCTGCATCTTGCAGCCATTCCGTGAGCAGCTCTCGATTGATCTCAGCCACGCCGGCAGCATACACGCCATTAGTTTTCTGAAGAGCTTCAGCTTGCTCAAGAAACAAAGCCTTCTTCAACCGTAACTCCACAATCTTACTGACGGCTGCTCGACCAGCTTCTTGGCCTTCGTGCGGCAAATCTGTGCAGAAGGTGATGGCCATAGCGTCGTTGAGCTGCCGAGGAGGCAAAGATTCCACTGCATGCCTTGCATCTCCATTGTGAAACAAGACAGATGACCCGACGTAACCACTCTGATGAAAAGCAGCATCCCACTGATTGCCATTGCTGGCACCGTTCTGGTGTGCTCCGCCAGCTCGGAGGACAACTTTGGTCGCCACAGTTCTGGCTAGGGCAAGGCACATCTCGTGGGTCATGTTCGCTTGCCAAAGAAGTGGATCAGGCCGCCCAAGCCAAAGATCGTTGGCCAGCGAAAACTTGCACAGCTTGGGTTGCTTTGGGGAAAATGCATAATAACAATCTCGACAAACAGATGCAAGAGAGTTGCCGCAAGTCATGTCACCGTCCACCCGACGCTTGTGTAGTAGCTCTTGTACTTTCTGTCCGAAGCTGTCGGATACTGACACGCTGCTGGCCAATAATTCTGCTTCTGGTATCAAAGGCCATCGTTGCTTGTAGCGCTCGACTGATAAGAACTTCCAGACAGCGTCAGGATTCAGCATAAAACATTGCTCTCCTGCGAGGAAAACTTCCCAGAGTTCTTCTTTCCAAAAGGATCGGGCACAAAAGCAACAGCCCAGGCGGCAACGAAGGGAGGCGTCCGCCGCGCCGTCCCAATCCACTCTTGCTTCACGCAGAAAAGTTGCATAGTTTCGAACATACTGACGTACCTCACTGCCAACAACCACGTGAGGATACAAAGACTCCAACACAAGCATAGCATTTCTGTACCGCTGCAAGCCGCCATGCTTTTGATCAATATGTTGAAACAATGCAGAGCGATCACCAAAATCTGCTTCGCATAACAAGCACGGCTGCTGCGGCATGGTAATGGCCATCTCCGGCCATTCTCGCAGTTGTTCTTCCACTGCGGCTCGAAAGAGTCCATGGTTGGCCTTGAAGCGATTGAATGGGTGGTCTTCCTCTGCCCACGGGTCCTGTCTGCTACCATCCATGTTTGCAGCGCCGGTACTACCAAAAGCAGTTCTTTGCCGCCTGCGGCTGTCAAGACGCTGGTCCTTTCTTCCACTACGCTGTTGCGTTCTTCCAGTACGCTGTTGCATTCTTCCAGTACGCTGTTGCGTTGTTCCAGTACGCTGTTTGTTGCGTTCTCCCAGTACGTTGTTGTTGCTGCTTTCTTCCAGTTCGTTTCCTCACATCTCTCTTGCGTCTCTTGGCCACCCTATCCGGCAAAGCGCCATCTGCAGAAAGTTTCCGTTTGCGACGCCTTTGGCGTTCCTGTCGGCGCAATCGTTCGCCCAAAGCAAAACGGCCTACATAGCCCATGTGATCCAGGCAACGATGTGATTCAGCACTTCGGCAAGGCTCATCATGTCCAGATTTTGTAGCACGCGCTGCCTCCACGACAGCCCGTGACAAATGCGAGGGCAAACATCGTAGTCGTGCAATATTGCCTGCAGGCGTCAAAGCAGGCGGTGCCAAAAGACTTCGTCTTCGATACTTTTCAAAAAAATCAAAGTTGGCCAAATCCTGGACACATCAGCAGGACCAGTGACAATGGAATCATCGCATTTCCACCACCGTCCACCGCATCGCACGAAGGCAATGAAGTGTCCATTCGCATGTTGTACAAAACCGGACACCAAATACTTCGATCCCTGCACCAGCGTTCAAATAAAAACACACTGAAGGGAACTTCAACAAAGTACATCCAAACGTGAACCAACGAGATTAAGCATCTCTAAGTACATCCAAACGTGAACCGCAACAAACGTGAACCTGAAACATTTCCACGCACACACGCCTGAAGAACGACTGGAGAAATAAGCAATTGGGACCAATTCATAGAAGCTCCGGGGAATTGATGCATTTGTAGGATCACAACCTCTGCTGTTGGCCAGCTGCCATGTCCTAAATTTTTCTGCATCACCTCCTCCACAGTGACAGCTCGTTCCGACACATCCACAGGCAAATCCACCATAACCCGGAGCTGCTCTTCTGGCTGTCCTTCACAACACACCCATTTCAGAGAGCAGTCGTTAAATTCTGCGGGGGCACTATTTATGTACTAGCAAAACACATCCACGAAACAAAGAAACATGCCAGGAAGCAGTCTTTATTTTCTCCGGGGGCGATCTTTATTTTGTAACAGCAAGCCGTTATCTTCTGATGCCAAAATCCTACATCATATCACCTTGATCCCATACCCTTGACTCCATGTCCTGTGTCTGTGCCCCTTGGCGCCACCAGGGAATGCTGGGACAACGTCTTCTCCAGCAACAGTGCCACCGCATCAGCCGCGTCAGCGCTCTCACCCGCAAAGAAGAGATCCGCCCGGGTCAAGTACATGTGATGCAGCAATTCAAAAGGAGCCACATAATCAAAATCTCTGCTGCGTAGCTTGACCAGCGTCGCTGTCATCCAGTGCCTCAGCGGACCTTTCTCACACGTCTGGTCCAAAAGATCTCTAGCCAACGGGCCACAATGGAGAAAACATTGCAAAATTGAATTGAGCCAACAGCTGTTCCCCAAATTTCTCAATCCACTGATGGGAGCAGCATTGTCGAAGCCGCCGGTACCCAGCGGACGGCTGCCAGAATCCAAGCGCCACTGCAGGCCCATGTCGTGCAACCAACGGGCATCGATTCTCGAAGCGAGGCTCTCTGCCAACTGATATTCAGACACTAGCAGCTCGCACGCACGCATGAGACCAGCATTCTCAGGCTTGCTCGCCTCGCTTCTGTATCTTTCACGCTGTCTGCGTGGCAAAGCAGGAGGGTTTAGCTGACCCAGGCAGACCTTCAAATGCTGCAATGGGAAATCGTCTGACAATCCAGTCCCGTCCTCAGCCAATTGTCGCAAAACGCGATCCACTTCCTGCTGGGACACCTGCAAGGCATCCGCCACACGACGGGCATCATCCTCAGCAGCAGATTTTTCTTTCCTCGTCGGACCGTAACGCCGGTTCTCTTTGGTCCCTACCCGGAGACGCCAACCAGCACTGCGTCGCTCCACCGTAACTTGGCGTCGCTCTACTGTGTCCATCTTCTCTTGTGAGTTATAGTCGTTGCCAGATTCTGACATCTCTCTCTCAGCGCTTCCACGGAAACGGCTGACGCTTCATCGAGACTTCTAGAATCCTCTTCCGCAGCTTGCACGCTTTGACGCAGAGGGTCAATGAACCATTGACCAGCATGCTTCTTGCGCGCACGCCAACCATTTCTGTGGCTTTGCACGGGCATGGTTTGCTACAGCAGATTCATGCAATTTTGACATGTCACATATCACTGAAATTCCTTTTGCTTGTTTCCCTATAATAACTATGAGGTATAAAATCAAATTGATAGAACTTCGATTGTTTTGAAACCTTCCAAGCACAATCGGCAAGTAGCTTCGAGTGCCGGAAAATTTCCAAAATTGAGTCAAAGCGGCGACATCTGCTACACCGGAAGTTGCACGGACATGCACACGAGAGCAACCGATTGAAGATATCGGAAGCACCGGAAGAGTGAATGAGAGTAGCAGATTGTCCGTGGCAAAGCTGCGACGATGTTCTGAGTTGAAGGGTGGAAGCTGCGTCATCTGCTACACCGGGAGTTGCACGGACGTGCACAAGAGAGCAACCGATTGAAGATATCGGCAGCACCGGCAGAGTGCATGAGAGTAGCAGATTGTGCATGGCAAAGCTGACACTGAATGGCGTAAGCCATGTATATCAAACATGCCAGGCCGACGTCAAAACATGCCACCTGAAGGCCAAAAATGCTAGCTACAACATGGCAAGGAGACGCAAGCTATCCATCATGTATGTCAAACCTGCCAGGGCGACGGCAAAGCTGAAACTGAATGGAGTGAGCCAAGTATGTCAAACCTGCCAGGCAGACGTGAACATGCAGCCTGCAGGCCAAAAATGCCAGCCGAAAAAAGGCAGGGAGACGAATGGCGTAAGCCATGCATATCAAACATGCCAGGCCGACCTCAAAACATGCCACC